CAACCAGCAGACCTGCTGACCTTACCAACACCTAGTTGGAAAAGTAGGATGCAATCTGCAGCAGAAGACAGGGAATGGAGAATGTGGAAGTCTAGTCAGGAAAAGGCATGCTGAGACACACCCTTTGAGAACTACAGCTTTACCTCTAAGATGCTAATGAACTGCTGATCTGCATCTGAAGAGGGAGTTTTGACACTTTGATTTTCTTGTTTATAAATGAAATCACAGGTCTAGGGGGAAAAACAGCTAGATGTTATTATATCCAGCTATATATTCATACAAATGGAAAAAAAAAATGATTCAGAGCTCTGGCATCCACATCAGAACTGGCACTTAATAAAATGATAATAAAAGGCAAACCGTTGAGTCCATGTGCCTCTGTCATGTATTTCAGCTATAAAATCATTGGTGAACAATGCTTTAAGGAAACCTATATTTCAGTTTTTCCATATTTACCTATTTAAGCATTGAGAAGATTAACATAATTATTGTTATTCATCTCTACCTTAAATGAAAATGAAGTACATAAAAATTACTTAATTCTGTTTTTGTGTTGTATTTTCTAAGGAACTCAAAGATTTTTTAAGGATTATTTTTATGAGGTTATTAGGAAAGCAAAGCCTCTGAGGATCTACACCTCTGGAGACAATAGCCTATTCGATGAGAACACAGATTAATGAAAATAGCAAATCACTGTGCTAGACTCTAGGGTTTAATATGAAGATACAACAAAGACCCTGCTCTCAAAGAGCCTGCTATCCAACAGAAGGAAGTATACATACAACGACATATGGGAGATAAAGTAAAGTGTGATATTTAGGTAAGCATTATTGAGCAGTCAGAAATACAGAACTAGAATTCTGAGGAGAGGTTGGGGAAAAGCATAAAGAATTAGAAGTCATTTGCATAGAGGAGGTAATTTAAGCCATTTTGGTGGGTTCAACAAGGAAAGAAAATGTAGAATGATCAGCAAAGAGAATCTATGGCAGAACCATAGGGTTTATTCACACTTAAAGGAGAAGACGAAGGTTACAGAGTCAGTAAACAATCCGAGGAATAATCAAAAACAGAAAAAAGTAAAGTGCTATAAAAGTCAAGGGAAAAGAGGTATCAAAGGTGAAGTGGTCACAAAAAGGATGAACATGGACAAAATCATTAGCTATCACAATAGAGAAACCATTAGTGGTCTTGAAGAAGGTAGTTTCTGTAGAGTAGTGAGGACAGAAGCCAAATTACAATAGACTAACAAGTGCAGAGGAATAAAGAGAAGTGACTAAGTAATGATAAGGGAAAAAAAGAAGGCAGTAGCCTGGGGCAGAAGGTGCAAAGATCAAAGGAAAGCTATCTTGTTTTGGGTTTGTAGAGTTTTGTCTTGACTGGGCTGGACATAGGACTGGAAGGCCTATGCATGTTTCTAAACTAAGAGAAAGAAGTAATTTCCCATTAGACTCTTTTTTTCAAAGATAAAATGAGAAGACTGGACCAGATTATCTAGTCTCTTTCAACTCTAAGTCCTATGATTTACTATTTATTATTTGTTCACTATATGGAATACATAAATAACAATGTTTTCAACAGATTTATTCAGTAGCCATTTATTACGTATCCACTGTGTGCAGACATATTTCTTCTCATGTCTATATCTCCAAATCTATTTAGAGGCACCATATTCAGAAATACAGAAGTGTCACTTAAAATGTGAAAATTAATTTCATCCTTCCTTAAGAGATTTAAGTCATAATTCTAAGAATAATCTTAGAAAATATTCCATGTTTTAAAATCATAGTTATTTGATGCTCCAAGAAAGAGGAAATAAAAATAAAAGCGTAAAATTTATTCTCACTGCATGATTTAACTGATATTACATGAAAACATAATTTACATTATCATAATCTGTACTGCCAACTCATTCCCTGAGGTTTTCTACTATTAGTATTATTCTAAAAGACAATGATTAAAAAATAATAATGAAAAACAAAATTAGTACTCAAGACCAAGAAACAAGTCACGCTATAGTAATAAGCCAGTAAGGTAACTTTAAAATATGCTATTCCAAATAAAGACGACCATAATAAATTATGCCTTTTGATAAAGATGTTAAACCCACACTCACACAGCAGAAACTGGAAGTAGATCTGAAGCATAGCATTAGTTTTGTCAAAAAATAAGCCTTTCTTAAATCTCGGCAAATTTGGTAAGCTACATCGTATAAGACCTTACTAACAAAGACTTGTATAATAATTGTTCTCATCTTAAGTCAAGCTTTTAGATCAGTGTCTAAAAATTGAAACAGGAGATATTTTTTTCTGCAGAAAGAAAACAGAAAAATTGAGATATTCGGTGTTGTGAATTTCATACTGATATAATTCAGTTCCACAGTAAGAGATATTAGCATACATTTTAATTAAATTTTGTACTGAAATTAAAAGCTACAGAAGAAACTATATAAATATAAGGGAGAGAATTCTTTGAAATATTTCAATGCATGAATAATACCGAACCATTTTAATGATATCTATGCAATGACTAAGAAAATTGTGATTAAAGTAATTTCATTAGTCCAAAACGAAAGATAAAAGTGGCTTAAGCTCAGAGTGCATGCAAAGTATAAGGTAATATGGCATCTAAGATTTTCAAAATTCAATTCAATAATCATTTATCAAACACCTATTTGATAGAAAGGTATTTAACATTTACTCTTCCTTCTCCCCCATAATCTATGATCCAGTGATACTTGCTATTCCTAGCACAAAACAATCCATCTCTTGACTCCATGGATGTTCACTGACTGTTCCCCACACCCAGAATTCTCTCCTTCCTCATCTCCCCTTCCTCATTTCCTTCCAGTCCAAGCTAAAATCTCACCTACTACAAAAGAAGCCTTTCCTGATCCCCCTTATTGCTAGCCTCTTCTCTCTGTTCATGACCTCTAATTTATCCTGTATGTATCTTGTTTGAACATTGTTGTTTTCATGTTACCTTTCTCCAAAAGGGGACTTGGGGGTGGGGCAGTTTCAGGGGGGTATTTCAGCATTTGGCACAGTGCCTGGCACATAGTAGGTGCATAATAAATGTTTATTAACTGAGTATTGTATAGAAAGCAGTATTCTAGCCTTTCCCACAACTAGACCAACCACCTGAACTCATATCTGAAAATGTAAAAATGCTTCTATCCCAACAATATAGATAAGTCTATCTATCCATAGAATGTAAGCTTTTTTATATAAGACAATTTAGAAGGAAAAGAGGGAGAGAATAAGTAGTGATAAAGCACCATGCACTTTATTACCGTATTATCTCATTTGATCTTCCCAACAACCCTTAGAGGTAGTTGCTATTATCATCTTCATTTTACAGATGAGGAATCTGAGTCAAACAGAAGTTAAGTAAATTGCCGGATTACACTGAGAGGCTGGATTTGAACTCAGGTTTTCTAACTACACACCCAGCACTCTATCCACTGTGCCACTAGCTGCCTCTATTTAGAGAGAAAAAAAAGTTCTCCAAAAAATGCATAACAAAGTCTGAGTGGATTTAAAATTTCAACATGATTAGACACAATAGTTTTTCAGAAATAAAAGTAAATTGAAACAAACATCAACAGCACGTCTTTTTTTTTTTAACTTTTCTATTACTATTACTTTCAAATATTTACTTGGTTTTCATACAACTCAAAAGCATACTTAAAATGACTGTCTTATTTGACAACCTGTTGGATCAGAAGGCCCTGTTGTATCAAAATGTATATGTTTGGAGATAGATTTGGGTAAGGCAGGGAGAAGAGATTAAATCTGTCAAATCTGTTGCACTTGTACAGAGGTAATGGAAGTAAAGATTAGAAAAATACCCTTATTTGTTGCTGGCCAGCATGCTCATCTAAATAAAGGTTTTACAAATTGAAGGCAATGATTTAGAAACGAAGTACAAACCAAGACAAAAATATTTCAAAAGGCCAGAACAACAGGCCATATCTAGTAAGATGATGTTTAATAAATTATAATTCAAATTCACATATTTAAGTTCATAAAATTAACAGCATTTAAGTGAAGGATAGGGAAGACATGGTTAAGCAGATCATGTGAGAAATATTTTTTTTTTGTTGACTGTAAGCTTATCAAGAATCAATAGTATGTCATAGCAATCAAATGATATTTAAAACAAATTAAATGATAATCCCATTATCTTCTGCACTGTTCAGACCACACTTGAATTAATGTTTGGTTCTATGCACCATATTTTAGAAGGGACATTGATTGGGTAGCCTGCCTGGATTCAGGATAAAGTAACCAAGATGGTTAGGGGACTCAAGAGTAATCAAAGGAAATGGGTGTAAAGCCTGGATAAAACTTTGAGGCATCAAGATATTTGAACAGTTGTAGAAGAAGGGTTAGAGTTAAATCCTTTTGCTTAACTCCAAAGAACAGAACCAGGACAATTAGGTGGTAATTATGAGGCTATCACTGTTAGACTATTATAAGGAAGAATTTACTATTGGAGTAGTCCTCCAACAGAATAGACTGCCTCAAGAGATGGAGATTTTTTCACTACTGGAATTATTCAGATGGAAATCTGATGATCACCTGTTAGAGATGCTGTGATTTCAACCTTGAGGCAGAGGTATAACTGAATGACCTCTGAAGCTCATTCCAATTCTAAAATCCTATGATCCTTTTCTCCACTTAAAGAATAATCTTCATCTGAAACAATAACCATTGTCTTCATATGAAAGATGCACCTTTACATCTATATAAAGTTGTCTGAATCCATTATGCATACATTCTGAGGATGATAACATTTATACTAGTGTTCTTAGGATTATGTCATCATGCTGTTGATACTGCTAAAAGCTCAAGAATCAAAGTTTGCTGAAAGTCTTATAATGAAGGTAAAATAAAAAAAGAAGTTCATGTATTCACTGACACAAACCTACAATTCTTCACAAAAACATTTAGCATCCTAAACACACGAAAAAAAAAAAATCACAATCAAAAATCTCTTACCAATTTCAGCAGGTAGTTGTTTGATTTTGTTTTCCCGAATGCTAAGCATGATAAGTTTTGACAAATTTTTGATATCCTTTTCCACAGTAGTGATTCGATTAAAACGAAGGTAAAGAGTGGTGAGAGAATCTAGCCTATACACCACTGAGGGAATTTCTCTCAGTTTGTTATGCCGTAGGTCAAGCATTCGAAGCTTCTTCAAGTTATCAAGAGAGTCAGGCAAACTGGTCAGTGAGTTCTCACTCAGTGCCAGTGTTACTAGATTCACTAAACAGCCTACCTCTGCTGGGAGAGACTGTAATTTGTTACTGTATAAATAAAGTTCTGTTAGCTGTGTCAATTCTTTGATTGATGAAGGAAGCATGTGTATAGATCTCTTGGATAAGTCCAATCGCATTGAATTCTCTTCCCGGCATTTGTTTAGCTCTTTAATCACTTCAGCATTGCTAGATTTTTTTCGAGTCCCAGGAGCTGGATTGGGGCGTTTGATAGTATTGTCCACAGAAAAAGCCACACCTGGCTGTGCAGCACTGGAGTCTTTCTTTCCATCTTTGGCATCTTTCCCTTTGGTCTTAGGTTCCTTTTCTTTGCTCTCTTTTCCAAAACCTCCAGAAGCCTTTGCCTCCTTTTCTCTCTCCTTGGCTGATGGCACTTTAGGGTCTTTCTCTTTACAGTCTTTTTCTTTTCCTAGACTGCTACTCATGATGACTCAAGCTAGAGCAAGCACTACATGAACTTCTTTTATTTTGTTTATAACAACAAACTGAAATTCAAGGCTGAAGGTACGGGGATCCTACAGTCAAAAATGTTGGTTTGAAGTAGCAACTTGTATAAAGTGACATCCATCTGCTGTTACATGATGGTTTTGAAGGCACTGTACCCAAACTTGATAACACATTCCAACTAGTAAAAAGGTGAAGGTCAAAGGCTCATTAGAATTCCTGCAATGTAATACAAAAAGAGTCAATGTTAGGTTACTTTAAAATATATGATTTTTATCAATCACTTGTGCCTAAAAACATGATGACCTCAGAAAGACCTTCCCACTTAACTTCACAGGAGGGCTCCATCTCTCCTAAAACACTACTTCATTTTACCCAATATAGGTTCAATAATTAAATTAAAAACCCTATAGAATATGCAGATTTGTGTCTACATAGCAGTCAACCCAGGAAGCTTTTATGTTTGCAAATAAACATTTGCTCTCCACAAGGTTCAAGGGAAGAGAACCTATATCTTGGCTACATACTGGGGAAGATACAAAGTTTAAGACATGATTCCAGTTCTCATGGAAATTAATAATAAAAACTTAAATTTATACAGAGCTTTAAGGCTTACAAAGTATATTAGCTAGCCACTTACTGACAATAATCTGCTTAGATCAACAGATCCCAAGAAAATCAAAAAAGGAGGCAGCATGGTGTGAAAAGAGGACTGGATTTGAAGAGACCTGGGTCTCAATCTCAGTTCTGACCTTTAATAGCTGAATGACTTAGGCAAGTCACTTAACCTCTCTGAACATCAGTTTTCTCATCTGTAAAAGAGACAATTGTTTACAAAAGTCAAGTGAAATTCAAAGCTGAAAGTATAAAGGTACTACACAATCAAAAACACTGTCTGTAACAAACCTTATATTCCCTGCCTCACAGGCCTGTTATGGGAAAAGAACTTGATAAAACTGAAAATGCTCCATAAGCATTACATATTATGCAAGAGTGAAGAGCCTGTGACCTGGCTCCCCTTAATCCTGGGATGCTTAACCCAGGGTTACTACATTTGTTTTTCAAAATAATTTTATTCTGATAACTAGTTCACTATAATTGGCTTCCATGACAATCCTATGTATTTTATTATGCCTTCAAAAACATTATTCTGAAAAGGGATCCATAGGTTCCACCAAACTGACAAAACAACAAAGGTTAAGAATCTCTTCCCCCTTAAAAACAGCAAGAAGCTTGTCAACACAGTGTCCTAGAGATAAAAGTAAATAAAACAGCACACACTAGGGCATCAATAACCCTAGATTCTAATCTTGACTCTAACACAATCTTACTAAGCCAGTTCCTCATTCAGAGCCTTAGTTTCCCCCATTTGTAGGATATGGGAGTTGGACTAGATGGCCCTAAGACCCTTACCATCTTTGATATTCTGTGGAATTCATGGTTGATGGACTATAAGTGATGATAGATTTGAACCTGAGTAACAAAGAAAGGGATGATATTAATGATGCAAATAGGGAGCTCTAAGGGCTAGGAGGATAAATAAGCATGGATGTAATCAAAAGAACTAAAAGGAAAGTAGTAATAATACAGTCTAGACTTTCTAGAACTGTCCCACATTTAAAGATTATTGTGATAGGGAAGAAATAACAATAGAAAAAAGCTTTATCATACTATCTGTCCCAATACGGAGTTCAGAAAATATGGACACCTATTTCAGTGAAAGGATCCAGAACTCAAAGCAGCAATACAGGATTATATGTTTGGCTGACAACAGAGTATAGAACTCTATGAAATTGCAAGAAGGCAGAGTTAGGTTCAATGAGGGTTGTTTTTCATAACCTTTTGATATTTTTTACCTTTTATCCCTAAAAATGAATTTCATTATTTTGTCAAATTCTTTAAAATATCCCATGGATAATTTGATTGATATAGTAATAAATTTGTATAGCAATTTGAACAGTATGGTAATTTTTACTATATTGCTAAGGTCTAATCATGAACATGGAATATATCTCCAATTACTTTTCTTCCTTTATTTCTATTTTTTAAAAACTGTTTTATAATTATATTTATATAAATCAAAATTGTTTTGCCTCCTTATTTTTCTTTTTTTTTTCTTTTTAGGCAATTGGGGTTAAGTGATTTGCCCAGGGTCACACAGCTAGTAAGTGTCAAGTGTTTGATCTGAGGCTGGATTTGACCTCAGGTCCTCCTGACTTTAGGGCCAGTGCTGTACCCACTGCGCCACCTAGTTGCCCCCTAATTTATTTTTCCTATTTTTGTTGCTATAGCTCGTATTTTAATAGTGGAGGCAGTGACTACTTCACTCCTGAACTTTATGAGAAAGCCAGTGATCCCAAGAAGCAAAGGTGAGGAAGGAGAACATTCCACTCATGGGGGAGAGCAAGTAACTAGACACAAAGATGAAAGATGGAACAGTCTGCATGACAAAGAGCAAACAGGTCAATATAGCTATTCCCCAGAATGTGTGGAAGGGACGATTATATAAGAAGACTGGAGAAGGTAGAAGGGGTCAGATTGTGAAGACCTTTAAATATCAAAGACAAGAGTTTCTATTTCATCCTAGAGTTATCAGGGAGTCACTAGAGTGAACTGAGTTGTAACAGGGTCAGATCTATACTTTAAGAAAATCACTTTGGTAGAGCTTTATGAAAAATACATGGGAGAGACTTAAGACAAAGAGACCAATTAGGATATCATAGTGGTCCAGGCATAAGGTGATAAGAAGCACAGTGGTGGCTAGATAAGTTAAGAAAAAGGAACATATGTTAAAACTGTGGTGATGAAATGACACAATATGTCAACTAATTAGATTTTGGATAAGTGAAAAAAAGAAGTAGAGGATAACCAGGGATAAGAACCTTAGTGACTTAAAGGAAGGTAGTGCTCTTGACAACACTAGGTAAGTTTGAGAACAGGGTTAGGTTTGGGGAGAGAAAAGGGGATCTGTTTTGGACAAGTAGAGTTTGAGATGCACCTCCAGGGAACCCGGTTTTAGATGTCCAATAGATTGTTGATGATGCAGGATGGGGGCTAAGAAGAGGCTAAGGGAGGATATAAAAATCTGAGAGTCATTTGAGATGACACTGAGAGATGATAAACGAAGATGAGAGTTGATCAGGCTTCAGAGAGAGAATGTAAAGAAAAAAAAGAGAAGATGTCCCAGGACATAGTTTTGGTGTATATACCTAGAGTTAGTGGGCATGAAATGGATGATGAACCAAAAGAAACAGATTGAGAGGTATGAAGATAACCAAGAGAGCAATGTGTTATGAAAATCCAGAAAAGAATCCAGTGTCAGCTGCAACACAGGTCAAGAAAGATAAGGACAGAGAAAAGGCCACCAGATCTGGCAATTGAGAGATCACTGGTAACTCTAAGTTTTCCTAAGAAAGAAGAGTAATAGGATAACTGCTGGAAATGATAGACTATCTAGTAAAGGTTTTCTAGGATAAGGAGGACTTAGGTATATTTTTAATCAGGAATGAAAGACCCAGAATAAAGGGAAAATTGAAGACTGGTGAGAGAGCAGGTGTAATGACTGTGGGAACAATAAGCTGGAGAGGATGGGAAGGAACAGGATTCAAGGGGACATGCAAAAGTCTGGCCCTGGGAAGAAGAACAACCTCCTCAGCAAAGTTAAAAGGAAAATAGTGGATGATGAAGTTGTGAGTTGAAGATCCAGGAAAAAGAAGAAGCTTAAGGTAAATGAACTCAATTCTAGGTAAGGAATGAGGCTAGGTTTTCTGTTGAGAACATGGGCGGGGAGGGGGGAGAAAAGAGGTTCTAGGGTAAACTTGAGAAGAGAAGGATTGGAAAAGCTACAGTGGTAAAAAGCATAGCAAATCAGTTAAGGTGGAATAAGAGGATTGCTTTGCTGCAGGGAAAGCCCAGCTGAGATAAGATAAATCTGCAGTAGAACTAGTCAGCACAGTCCTATAACTTCCTCTAATTTCAAAGAGGCAAGAGATCTGTATTCTGCTACATGCTTAAAGGTAGGCAATTTCCTATTCATAACAATGTATTGTAGATGATTGAGAAAGGCCTTCATAACTGAAACATTACTGTACCAATTGTGCCCTTCTGGCTACTTTGTCTTACAAACAAATCTCTGTGACCCAGAACTATTTGCAACCAAATGGAATCTATTAAATTCCTTCAATCTAAGAAGCTGTTTCCTACATTTAATTTAAACTACTTTGGTTTAATTATTGAAAAAAATAATATAATCTGGTTTAAATATGAAGTCTTATTTATATATAGGTTAAATGACTGTAATAGCCATAACCCTGAAAAGTTGCTTTGAGATGAGTTTTTGTACAGTAAACCCAATTTTCCCCATTGACTATCATTATAAAACTTTAGATACATTCTTTGGAAAATTTTTACCCTGAGATACTATTTTCTTACAAAATTATATTTTAAAGATGATTATTAATATTCAAGTCATAAAACGAATATAATAGATGGAATCATTTTTATATTTAATACAATGGCTTCAAAATCTAAAGAAAAACAATAGTTTGGGTGAATTGTATATAATTAACTAAAAGAGCACTCAGTTTCTACCAAACTTCCTTATCCAGTAATTATTCAAATATTTGTTGAAAGCCAAATTAACACTGAAAGGGAAAAAAAAAATTTAAGAGGGGATCTCTGAAGTCTTAATAGTTTACAATCTAAGTAGGTATACAAAAACTACAAGGAAATAGTTAATCATGTATTACCTACACTGTTAGTTAATATAGCAAATGAATATTCTGAATTCAGAGAAAGAAGAGATGGATGTGGTCATCCATGTTGGGGGAAATGATACTATGGATGGTATGAAACCAAATCTGGATCTTCAACAATAAGTAGAGGTTAGAGAGACAGAGGAGAGATGGAAGGGTGCTCCAACCTGAAAGATATAGCCTGATTTGGAGTCAGGTGTCAGGAGTCAGGCTTAAGCCAGGCTTAAGCCAGGCATGTAAGCAAATATCAGGCACTTAAGAAATGCTAGTGGATTGATTAACTGATTTCCTGTTGTGGGAGACAGACCTGGATAGGTAAAGTGGTAGAAATCATTAAAATTAAAAAATCATTAAATCACTGAATTAAGAATTTAAATTTTTACCATGAACATAAAATCATACAATCGAAAAACATTCTAGTAAGCAGAAATGAGTTAGTTGATCTGAAGATATTAGCATAATGTATTGGAGGGAGCATAGTGAAGTCCAAAGACCTGATTCCATTCATAGGTCTGCCATTGACTTACTATGTGATCGTGAGCAAGAAATTTTTCGTCCTCCATTTTCTTCATCTGCATAATGATAGGATTAGAATAGAGAGCATTAACATTCTCAAAGATTTTTTAAAAGGTAGAAATTAAAGAATATAACAAAGGAACTGATTTAAATACTCCAATCCATGATTTAGTTTGGTTTGGGGTACTTCATTCACCCATGTAGAACTCAAGGTAACACTTTAGTAGACAGTCCCCTAACTACCAACATTCTTTTAACAAGATTGTTCAAAATATAGCAGCAAACAAACAAAAATACACAAGATTAAATTATTAGAAGACTACATAAGCTAAAACATACCTGGAGAAGATTCTGGGAAGATGGCGGAGTAGGTCAGAAAATTCTAAGCTCTCAAGATTTTCCTCCACAAAAGAGATGAAATAGTGCCTCTGGGCAAACATTAAGTAGTAAAAATAAGTAAGAGTAGGAGAAGAACAGGGGTCCTCCTGGGACAATCAGAGAAGATCTGAAAAAAAGTCTCAGGATGAGGTTTGGTCCCTGTG